CATTGTTAGAAGATGAGGAGAAGGAGTCGTCTCAGTGTTAGAGGTTGAGGAGGAGGAGTCTCAGTGTTAGAGGTTGAGGAGGAGGAGTCTCAGTGTTAGAGGATGAGGAGAAGGAGTCGTCTCAGTTTTAGAGGATGAGGAGAAGGAGTCGTCTCAGCGTTAGAGGATGAGGAGAAGGAGTCGTCTCAGCGTTAGAGGATGAGGAGAAGGAGTCGTCTCAGTGTTAGAGGATGAGGAGAAGGAGTCGTCTCAGTGTTAGAGGATGAGGAGAAGGAGTCGTCTCAGTGTTAGAGGATGAGGAGAAGGAGTCGTCTCATTGTTAGAGGATGAGGAGAAGGAGTCGTCTCAGTGTTAGAGGATGAGGAGAAGGAGTCGTCTCAGTGTTAGAGGATGAGGAGAGGGAGTCGTCTCAGTGTTAGAGGATGAGGAGAAGGAGTCGTCTCAGTGTTAGAGGATGAGGAGAAGGAGTCGTCTCAGTGTTAGAGGATGAGGAGAAGGAGTCGTCTCAGTGTTAGAGGATGAGGAGGAGGAGTCTCAGTGTTAGAGGATGAGGAGAAGGAGTCGTCTCAGTGTTAGAGGATGAGGAGGAGGAGTCGTCTCAGTTTTAGAGGATGAGGAGAAGGAGTCGTCTCAGTGTTAGAGGATGAGGAGAAGGAGTCGTCTCAGTGTTAGAGGATGAGGAGAAGGAGTCGTCTCAGTGTTAGAGGATGAGGAGAAGGAGTCGTCTCATTGTTAGAGGATGAGGAGAAGGAGTCGTCTCAGTGTTAGAGGATGAGGAAAAGGAGTCGTCTCAGTGTTAGAGGATGAGGAGAAGGAGTCGTCTCAGTGTTAGAGGATGAGGAGAAGGAGTCGTCTCAGTGTTAGAGGATGAGGAGAAGGAGTCGTCTCAGTGTTAGAGAATGAGAAGGAGTCGTCTCAGTGTTAGAGGTTGAGGAGGAGGAGTCGTCTCAGTGTTAGAGGATGAGGAGAAGGAGTCGTCTCAGCGTTAGAGGATGAGGAGAAGGAGTCGTCTCAGTTTTTAGAGGATGAGGAGAAGGGGTCGTCCCCAGTGTTAGAGAATGAGAAGGGTCGTCTCAGTGTTAGGGGTTTTGAGGAGGAGAGTCGTTCAGGTTAGAGGATGAGGAGAAGGAGTGTCTCAGTGTTAGAGGTTGAGGAGGAGGAGTCGTCTCAGTGTTAGAGGATGAGGAGGGGAGTCTTTCTCAGCTTTTAGAGGATGAGGAGAAGGAGTCGTCTCAGCGTTAGAGGATGAGGAGAAGGAGTCGTCTCAGCGTTAGAGGATGAGGAGAAGGAGTCGTCTCAGCGTTAGAGGATGAGGAAAAGGAGTCGTCTCAGCGTTAGAGGATGAGGAGAAGGAGTCGTCTCAGCGTTAGAGGATGAGGGGGGAAGAGTCGTCTCAGCGTTAGAGGATGAGGAGAGGAGTCGTCTCAGTTAGAGGATGAGGAGAAGGAGTCGTCTCAGCGTTAGAGGATGAGGAGAAGGAGTCGTCTCAGCTTTTTAGAGGATGAGGAGAAGATCGTTCGTGTTAGAGGATGAGGAGAAGGAGTCGTCCCCAGCGTTAGAGGATGAGGAGAAGGAGTCGTCTCAGCGTTAGAGGATGAGGAGAAGGAGTCGTCAGTGTTAAGGGGGATGAGGAGAAGGAGTCGTCTCTAGTGTTAGAGGATGAGGAGAATGAGGTTTCAAGTGGTAGAGGCATGACTGTATTTACCTTCTTTATGGATCCCCGCCCCATAGTGAGAGATGGCCGGTATCTTAGCTTTTTTTTATATCTTACTCTCATTAATCCTCATCTACATTACAGGAGTCGTGGGCAACGGAAAAAAAAAAGCAGTGAAACAAATGTGGGCTGTGTCATGGGTGGAAAAGGGCGGCTATCCTGCTTGGTCTCCTGCCATCAGGTGGTCGTTTGGGGGAGGAAAGGACGGCACCTAAGACACTACTGGCTCCCATTATGGCTATTTTCTCACCTAACAAACCTAACATTCATTATTCAGTTCATCTGTAAGTATAACACAGCACAGAATAGCAAAATAGAGTTAGAGAAAAACCAAAAGATAAGACAGTTAATGGGAGACGAAGAGCAAGGAGTAAGATGTGAGAGGTGATTGCAAGACCTTGTATTAGCTGGATTTAGAAGGAACTTTGAGATGGGCTTGGGATAATATTAAGTCAAGATATTGTGCGTTACGTAAAAAAAATTGGAAACGGAAAAAGAAAAGGGAAAAAAAAAGAAAAAACAAAATTTGCAACTGAAGAAATGGAACAAGGTTTGGAGAAAAATCGAAGATGAATGAAGGAGCAAATGAAGGAAATGTGGGGGAAAGAGGTAGCAACTGTAATGGAAAATGCAAAGAAGTCGATAGGGAACAGAATTTTTTTTTTTTTTTGTTAAAAATGCCTCTTAGGTACAGGAGATATTAAGAAAAGAAATGTGGAATTATTAACAGAAAGAAAATTTGTAGGGAGAAAATAATGGGGATAGAGTAGGAGGTCATTGATCATCCTTGTGATTCTTGTGGCCAGTGATAGATCGGCGGAGGAATAGGAAATTAGAATCTCTGTTAAAATTAAGGAAAAAAAAGGATAGAGGAAGTTGCAACTATTCAGAAAATTGTAAGGTACTGTAGGGGCAAAATACATAAAAAACATTTGATTCATTCAACAACAACTGCCTGAGGACACCACTATTAAGACGGATGGAAAAACATCATGATCAACTTCGATGTTTGAGCACCAACAACAAGGCTCCTACACCTGTACCATCATGTTTGAGCACCAACAACAAGGCTCCCACACCTGTACCATCATGTTTGAGCACCAACAACAAGGCTCCCACACCTTTACCATCATGTTTGAGCACCAACACAAGGCTCCCACACCTGTACCCTCATGTTTTAAACACCAACAACAAGGGCTCCCACACCTGTACCATCATGTTTGAGCACCAACAAAAAGGCTCCTACACCTGTACCATATGTTTGAGCACCAACAACAAGGCTCCCACACCTGTACCATCATGTTTGAGCACCAACAACAAGGCTCCCACACCTGTACCATCATGTTTGAGCACCAACAACAAGGCTCCTACACCTGTACCATCATGTTTGAGCACCAACAACAAGGCTCCTACACCTGTACCATCATTTTGAGCAACCCAAAAACAAGGCTCCCACACCTGTACCATCATGTTTGAGCACCAACAACAAGGCTCCTACACCCCGTACCATCATGTTTGAGAACCAACAACAAGGCTCCCACACCTGTACCATCTGTTTGAGCACCCCAAAAACAAGGCTCCCACACCTGTACCATCATGTTTGAGCACCAACAACAAGGCTCCCACACCTTACCATCATGTTGAGACCAACAACAAAGGGTCCCACATCTGTACCATCATGTTTGAGCACCAACACAAGGCTCCCACACCTGTACCTCATGTTTGAGCACCAACAACAAGGCCCAACACCTGTACCATCAGTTTTTTAGCACCAACAACAAGTCCCACACCTGTACCATCATGTTTGAGCACCAACAACAAGGCTCCCACACCTGTACCATCATGTTTGAGCACCAACAACAAGGCTCCCACACCTTACCATCATGTTTGAGCAACCAACAACAAGGCTCCCACACCTGTACCATCATGTTTGAGCACCAACAACAAGGGGTCCACACCTGTACCATCATGTTTGAGCACCCAACAACAAAGGGTCCCACACCTGTACCATCATGTTTGAGCACCCAAAAACAAGGCTCCCACACCTGTACCATCATGTTTTAGCACCAAAAACAAGGCTCCCACACCTGTACCATCTGTTGAGCACCAACAACAAGGCTCCTACACCTGTACCATCATGTTTGAGCACCAACAACAAGGCTCCCACACCTGTACCATCATGTTTGAGCACCAACAACAAGGCTTTCCCACACCTGTACCACATGTTTGAGCACCAACAACAAGGCTCCTACACCTGTACCATCATGTTTGAGCACCAACAACAAGGCTCCTACACCTGTACCATCATGTTTGAGCACCAACAACAAGGCTCCCACACCTGTACCATCATGTTTGAGCACCAACAACAAGGCTCCCACACCTGTACCATCATGTTTGAGCACCAACAACAAGGCTCCTACACCTGTACCATCATGTTTGAGCACCAACAACAAGGCTCCTACACCTGTACCATCATGTTTGAGCACCAACAACAAGGCTCCTACCCCCTTACCATCATGTTTTAGCACAACAACAAGGCTCCTACACCTGTACCATCATGTTTGAGCACCAACAACAAGGGTCCCACACCTGTACCATCTGTTTGAGCACCAACAACAAAGGGTCCTACACCTGTACCATCATGTTTGGGGCACCCAAAAACAAGGCTCCTACACCTGTACCATCATGTTTGAGCACCAACAACAAGGCTCCAACACCTGTACCCTCATGTTTGAGCACCAACAACAAGGCTCCACACCTGTACCATCATGTTTGAGCACCAACAACAAGGCTCCTACACCTGTACCATCATGTTTGAGCACCAACAACAAGGCTCCTACACCTGTACCATCATGTTTGAGCACCAACAACAAGGCTCCTACACCTGTACCATCATGTAAAGAATCTGGAAAAAACGTGTTTTTCACAGAAACCAGTCGAGGGGTGGAAGATTGAGACTCAATCTTCAACTTGTCGGTTTTAAACCATTTATCACAGTCCAAGGGGTAAACTAATAAACAATTTTATTTCCATAAAAGCAGTACTGTACAGTATAGAATTAGGGTAACTGACGTGCATAAACGACTTTACAGAAAACCATTTGTTATGCAAGGAAATGAATAAACTATGAGGAGAGAGTGAAGAAGGCAATAGTTGTGTTTCAAGATTGACAAAAAAAGTGGGATAATTGTAGGAATGTCTGACAAAATTTAGAAAAATAGTGGAAGATAAGACGCTTGTCAGACAGTTCTTGAACACACACACACTTCCCTCAGACGTCAGGAGTTCAACACACCTCCAGAGAATCTCCTGTGTCACTCTGGCACTCGGGCAGCGGCCATTCCACATGAGCCATTCCTGGCTCAAAAGGAGCAGTGATTTTGAGATTTGAAAACCTTATACCAGGGAGAACATCAGCCCTGACACCACTTAAACTAAGACGAGGTGTACCCCTGCTACAGGGCGTCTACGATGGTTGTATTTAAATGCTGAAGAAAACTCACTGTGCCCATTTTATAGAGCTGCCCCCACCACTGGGCAGTAAACTGTATTCCATTTGACACGAAGATGATTCACCACGCCCTTGTCAAAGGTCTCCCATTGTTATAGAGTTGTAAGCGGTGCCACACTTGACCTGAAGAAGACTTACCGGGCTGCCCCTGCCACAGGGCTGTAAATGGTAATCCACTTGACACGAATGCCCACCGTGCCCCCGACATAGGGCTGTGAACAGTACATCACGTGTATAATCTCCAACACTCCTTCGGGAGTCACTACCGGGACACTACATGAAGAAGACCCGGGCCAGGACCCGTCCTGGCAAACCTTTAACCTGAACTGTGAGAAATAATGTGGATGAATTTTTACAAGTACAATCTTGAGTCAATCTACCACCCACGTAACTGGGAAAGACTCTGGTACATCTAAAACAGTTTATATTTACTGATATTGATGTACCTTGCAGACATGTGGGACTTCAGGGGAATTGGGAAGAACTCTGGTACATCTACAACAGATTACACTTACTGATACTGGTGTACCTCGGAGACAATTGGAACTTCAGGAACAACAGGTCTCTGATACTGTAGTTACCTTACCTGTTCCATGGTAATTAAAACACCATTGGAGACGAACACACACCATTCCAGTACACACGGTTATATAATTCCTCATGCCTACGCCACCGTGTACACAAGGTGTTCAACACACAAGATGTTCAACATTCACACAAGGTGTTCAACACTGACACAAGGTGTTTAACACTGACACAAGGTGTTCAACATTCACACAAGGTGTTCAATACTGACACAAGGTATTCAACACTGACACAAGGTGTTCAACACTGACACAAGGTGTTCAACACTGAAACAAGGTGTTCAACACTGACACAAGGTGTTGAATACTGAGACAAGGTGTTCAAGACTGACACAAGGTGTTCAACACAGACACAATGGGTTTAGCACTGACACAAGGTGTTCAACTCTGACACAAGGCGTTCAACACTGACAGAAGGTGTTCAACATTCACACAAGGTGTTCAACACCGACACAAGGTGTTTAACACTGACACAAGGTGTTCAACACTGACACAAGGTGTTCAACACTGACACAAAGTGTTTAACACTGACACTAGGTGTTCAACACTGACACACGATGTTCAACACTAACACAAGGTGTTCGACACTGCCACAACGTGTTCTATATTGACACAAGGTGTTCAACACTACCAAAAAGCGTTCAACATTAACTCAAGGTGTTCAATACTGACACAAGGTGTTCAACAATGACACAACGTGTTCAACAATGACACAACGTGTTCAACAATGACACAACGTGTTCAACAATGACACAACGTGTTCAACAATGACACAACGTGTTCAACAATGACACATGTTCAACACTGATACAAAGTGCTCAACACTGACATAAGGTGTTCAACACTGACACAAGATGTTCAACACTGACACAAAGTTTTGAACACTGACACAAGGTGTTCAACACTGGCACAAGGTGTTCAATAGTGACAAAAGGTGTTCAACAATGACACAATGTGTTCAACAATGACACAACATGTTCAACACTGATACAAGATGCTCAACACTGACACAAGGTGTTCAACACTAACACAAGGTGCTCAACACTGCCACAACGTGTTCAATATTGACACGAGGTGTTCAACACTGCCCCAAAGTGAATATCAAAATGGTATACAATACCGACAGGTTGTTGGGTAAGACACATAGGCAACAGTTAGGCAACTTTATTCCGAAACGTTTCGCCTACACAGTAGGCTTCTTCAGTCGAATACAGAAAGTAGGCAGGAACAGTAGAGATATGAAGACGATGTAATCAGTCCATCATCCTTGAAGTCGTAGATTTGAGGTTGTCAGTCCCTCAGCCTGGAGAAGTTCAGTTCCATTGTCAGGAACTATCTGAAGATCAACCGACAGTGCGGAGAGGGACGTGACCTCTCAGTGGCTACATTCCCACTACTACTACTACTCTGCACCTCTCCTTCCGACAGTATATAAGTCTCCGCGCTGTCGCTTGATCTTCTGATAGTTCCGACTAGTGAAA